ACGGATGGGAAAGGGGGTAGGTAGCACAATCGTGCCTTGAGTAGAAGACTTACATTTGGTTTGCTTGCAGGAAGGATTTGGTGGCCAAAGTGGCTTATTTCCCAGAAAGGGCTAAAATGGGGAGAAGCTACCACTGCAGCAGCACTGAACTACCTCAGCTGGTTTCCCTTGGTTCAGGAGTTAGCGTGGAGTAGTGTTAAGATAGAAATGCAACACAGAAGTGAAACCAGCCTGGTTTTCTTTTTGAAGAAACTGTCTAGCTTTCTTTGTGCTCAGCAATAACATAGTCAAATGAGTAGGAGCTATCAGAACAAAGCTGTGAAGACCGGGGAATTAAATCTGCAGGTCTTTGTGATAAATACAGTCAGCAGGAATTTGCTTCTAAGGCTGGGAGCTTTAAAGGAAATCTTTTACCTCCTTTCAAGTGGAATGGCTTAGCTTTTGAAATGGGTAGAGCTGCAGGTTTGTGTAAACCCTCTTAAAACCTGGAGTATAGGTGAAGTCTCAGGTAGCCAGCAACAGAGAGTTGTCAAAACTTGTGAATAAAGCCTGTGAATTTCTGTAAGTGTATATGGTGAAATGCATGTGTAAAGATACTTAAAAAGAGAAGTGCAAAATACTTGCAGGTAGTAACAGATTGCTAGTGTCTGTTGAAAAGAGAAAACAAGCATAGCTTCTGTGAAGTGTTACCAGTTCTGCCAGCGACGCTGATCTTTGAAAGGCTTTGGGGACACATCTGGGTTTATAATAACCTCATTTATCAGGTGACAATTCTGTGCAAAATACAATGCAAATGTGGTGTGGTTTGTTTATTACCTTTAGTCTGGCAGAGCGTATTTGGGTGCCGTGAAGTGTAACAGCTACGTGAGGTAGTTTACTTGCAGGTTTATAGAATCTTGGGTCAGCTCCTGTTGCCCAATGTTATCGGTGTACAGTGGCCTGGCAGGGGATCACTACCAAATGCCAGCTACTCCTGTGCCCTGTCCCCCCCTTATCCTAAGGAGCCGTGTGGTTTAGGGGATGTGACGAGTGGGAGTCAAAAGGAAGTTCAGCATTTTGCCTGTCTTAACTTTTGCAGTTTGCATCCTCTTTCATGGTAGCTGCATACAAATGTAAGGTCAAAAGAGTCCCTTGCTCTTAAAATGACTAACAGTGGCCACAGCACACCCTTGTTTCAAGTATTGAAAAGGAAACACATTGTTTTATTGCACAATCTACAAACACACCTTCTCAAACCGCCTGAACAAAACCTGTAGTAACTTCCTGTGTTTTTTTTCATTTGTGTGTTCTGCATTGAACAACATCTGCCTATACTCAGCCTTTGAACAATATTGCTTACAGTATGAATGGAATTAAAGTACACAACTGTGCCTCTGTGCAACTACACATTTGTACAACTGCCTTTTTTCAGCAGTATTTGTTTTTCTTTGAGCCTCAACACAGAGTGCCTAGGTGGCCAGAGACCTGTGGCTGTTCTGAGAGGGTTTCTCTTTTGGAAATACGCTGAGTACAGCAGAGAAATTGAAGAGAGGAGCACATGCAGGCAAAGGAAGCTAAACAAACATAACTACTCCTATAGACATATTCATAACATTTTTCCCTGTGGTCGTACCATGGGAACGCTATAGCAGATGCTTAAGTGGAGATTCTAGATAGCCAAACATCTTTAGAGGAAACTTATTAAGGAGCTTTCATCTAAGCTAATATTTTCAGTCTTTGAGGTTCCTATGATCTCTAAATCCTTCAGTGACTTGAGCTGTAATAAAACTTCATTTGGAATTTCTGTCTGAACTCCCTACTCCTCCACAGGAGCTCTGGGCTGGATGAAACAGAGGAATGGTGGAAAACATCAAGTAAACACTAAGCTCATTAAGTCCTGCAACCTCAAAGAGCTTGGCTTCGAGAGCAGCCCAGGCCGGGAGACGGCCTGTCTAATCACCTTCTCAGTGAGCAGGGGTTTATAAGCCTCTTCATGTCTAAAGGCAAGAATCCTGTAGAAACGTTTTGTCTGGAGATCTGTTAAGCAACCATGTCTTCAGTATGCAGTGTTACAAGAGAATTAAGCAAATGGAAATCCAGAACGGGTGAAGTTAAGAGAAGTAGGTTGGGTCAGCTGTAGTGAGGTAGGTGACACATATCCCAAGTTCCCAAAGAACACCTTCCTCTCGCACGGGTTGCGTGAAGGCTTTGTGGGATTTTTCAGTGCCTCTAATAACATGCCGCTGTCAGAATTGCAGCAGTAGTAGTACATCCCTGGGAGCGTTCACTCTTCTATAAAATCAGGGAACCATGTGCTGCTGGTTTTGGTACCTTGGATGTGATTCCTATCTCTTTGTATGTAAGTACCTATAGCCACTGTAGATACTCCAGCTGGGGCAGAGGTCTGGAGCCAAAGGATGTATTTGACCACAGACCTGGTTTTTAAAATGTCACTTCACCTACAGTGAAGGAACCAGAAACAAAAGATACTGGTAGAATTACCCGTTTGGTTCTGAAATAGGACATACCGCATGTATCCAATACCACAAGGTACCACTGTGCCCTGTAATCTGTGTGCTTTGTATTGCCTTTTTGTGCCGGCACGGATTTATGCTGGATTACGGTGACCGTATAACCACAGATTTAGGGACAGAAATACAGCAGAACCTGTCTTTATTTCAGTGCTTTAAGAGATCTTCTGGCAAGCCATTTAATTATTTGAATGCTCTGCAAGAAAACTGAAGAGTCCTGCCACTCAGCCTTGCTTTTACCTCTTTGAGACCAGAAAAATATACTGTTAGTATGTGCTTGGATATTTTTGTTTTTCCATTGCACACAGCCATGTATGCCAGCTGCGTCTGAACCCTGGAATCTCTGCCTTAAACAGTCTTGCTCGTGTCTTTTTACAGCTGTTGTTGAATATATTGTTATAAAAATGGCCAGTCCAAGTTCTTTTGGTTAATCCATAAAACACCGCAAATGTAGATACTCCTTCATTTAGTGTAGTTTATTTCAAAATTGTCGCACGTAAGACGCTTACTCTGGGGTTGCAGCTTTAGTGGTGGTTCTTAATATCATCCTTCCCTAGGCACTTTTGTCTATTAAACAATTCCAGCTGGCAGAAGAGGACAGAGCACTTCCGTAAGTGTTCCCACGATCCCAAAGTGAGGAGCGTGACCTTGTGACCACGTGCCAGCTTTCCTTTCTTGACATAAGAGATAGCGGGAGGTAAAGACAATACTTGGTAAGAAAGATCCCCTGCCTGAGCTTGGCTGCTGGAGCTGGGCAGGCGTAGGCCTTCTAAATAGTATCTTTCTCTGGGGCCTGAAAGGTTAGTAGCAAAGAGTGCATAGTTTTCACTTGCCCTGAACATCTAATGAAGATAAGTAAAAAGTTTTGAAGATCTTGGCCATCGCTTTTGTGCGTGAATGTGATGATGCTCTGCTCAGCGACTGATTTGCGGTCACTTTCCAAGATAAATACCTTCACTCCAGACTCATTTGAACCAAGGATTTGCTTGCCACATTATCCAAGAGTATTGGGGGGGTTTATGTCGGTTACTTGAACGCGTCCTGCTTCAGTGGCAGCAGGTGACTGTCATAAACTTCTGTTCTTGGTGTCAGTGCATCCTGCTTTTCAGGTTGGAGACTCGGATCTGCAGGGGACTATTGCAGCTATACAGGAGTTGATGCCCAACTGTCCGTACAGCTGGAATATTTTGCAAAGATTATGTTGGATAACCTCAACTGGATGAGAAAGAAATACATAATTTCCCCAGACCAGGCCGTCTGACTTGCTGGCTGTAGAATATTTATCTTTTGATAGTGAATGGGTAGTGCCTTTTAAGAACAGCTTTCATAATGGATGGCTACTAAACTGAGAGCTCCCTCCTTTCCTCATTGCTAGGGTATAGCTTAATTGCAGGAAACTTTGCTTCCTGTTTCTCCCTGACCTGGGGGCTGCTACTTGAATAACGTGATAATGCAACTGCTTTAGTTTTGAAGCCTTTCTTAAATAAAACTTTTGGAGCTTGGCAGAACACGGGAGGGAGAAATTAAAGTTAAGCTCGTTGTATATGGGTGGCTAGAAAGAGCAAAGAAAAAAGAGAGGGGAAGCAGCAGTGAAAACAAACTGGCTGTGCTTCAGCTGCCTGGTGACCTGCTGATCAAAGTAACTCGTGCAGATTTTGGGTGCTGTTAGGCTTGCAGGAAAGAGTCTGTTTATATCTGTTGGCGAGAAGGAGAGCTAAAGGTTTTGTCAAGAACATGGTTCAGCTCATCAAGTGTCTGTGGTAATGTCTGTTGCACGTTTTCTGACTCCGAAGTGAAGTTTAAGGGGGGTTTTCATGTGTCAGAATTGGGTGCGAGACCAGCTGTAATAAGCCCTTTGGAGTATGTTGCTGTGATTTCTCGAAACAACTAAAAGTCCCTGATTTCTCAGATACAGGCAGCTTTTGGTGTATGTTTTGCAGCAAGAAGGAAATAATGGATCATACTTTGTGTGTGTGCTCCATTCTGTTTTTCTGATAAAGCTAAAGGAGGGAGAAGGAGTGTTAGAACAGAATTTCTCTTGGATAACAGTTATCTCAAGCTGAATGGCACAATACAAATGAGGAAGTGTTAAAACTGCTTTGGGAGAAGGAACTTTCAGTTCCCTAACCCGGATTATTATTGAGATAGCATGGAAAAACAATGCATTAAACATTTGCACAAACACTGGAAACAGTTTTTGGTGAGGTAAGGACTGGACTCCTTTCCATCGACAGCACGGTGTTAAACTGGCGGCATGACACCGTTTAAAACTGTGCTCTTAAACCCATAGTCTAGAACGCTTTTTGTGATACCAAGTCAATAATCCGCGATCAAATGCTACTGAACTTTATTGAAACTATTTGTATTAATACAAAACATGCTGCTGCTTGGAACTAGAAACTGTATGTCTTGTATCAGAGGAGTTGGCAAGCAGTGCAGTTCATGTGTATGTGAACGTGATGTATTACCTGGACATATTGTGACGGAGAGATGTTCTTGTTTCTGCAGAGTGACCAGCAGCTGGATTGTGCCTTGGATTTGATGAGGCGCCTGCCTCCGCAGCAGATAGAGAAGAATCTCAGTGACCTCATTGACTTGGTGAGTATTGGATGCTCTGACTGAGGAATGCCTGAGTCCTGGGTGTAATGAAAATCTGGTATGTAAGAACATTTTCTGAAGCATCTCGGAGGTGTGGCGAGTTGTTTCTCTCCTTGTCTTTTGGCAAGGTTGAAGAATACAGCAATTGCCCAAACAATGTCAGGAATCTACGTGTTTATTTTGGGCAAGCCAACAGGTACTACTGTTTATGCATGGACACGCTTTTGGATGAAGGGTCATTAGCAGCTTTCTTGATGAAGTCATCCCCAGGTTGGAGGCTGCTGTTTAGTAGAAGTAATTTGGAACAGTTTATACAAGGTTGATGCACGCCTTTGTACGCCTGTATTGTCTCCTGATAAGTTTAGTTTGACACAGGACTTGTGCGGTAGGTGCAGTGGATGTGCTATGGCACATGATTCAAAGACGTTACTGAGACAGAATATGTCAAAATGCTGGGGTTCTGGAGAGCACCCAAATCTATTTATAATTGATGCTCTATCAGGTATTCTGCAGTCCAGTGAGTATCCAAAAAAACCCCTGGCCAACCATCTTGTGCCTGATACCTGTTTTCCACTTGCCCCTGAAACGTTTGTTTTCCTTCTGTAAACTGCTAATGAAGAAAACTAACTAAAGAAGGATGCATATCCTCATTACTAATTGCATAGGAATTGGTTGCACATCCTGTGATGCGCAGTTGGGCTATAACAGGCTAGCTAGTGTCAACTGTCCCTGAAAACACTGTGTGGCCTAGTTGCCTCTGGAGTAACTTGAAGTATTACTGAAATAGGGATTTTAATCTATATAGAACCTACTACATGGCCAACTCTGAAAGTTTGTTTCTGTTGTCCAGTCTAAATATATGGCTTATTTCTGGCCTAAGCTTCTAAAGTTTTGCAGACAGAGGGCATTGAGGCTGGAAGAGGGCTGTCAGACCTTTCAGTTAAGCCTTTCCTCTTCTCTGTAGTGACAAGTACATCCCTTTTCTGTGGCAGGTCTGAATTTTATGCATGATGCTAACAAACCTTGTCTGAGAGACCCCAAAAATCATGGTTCTGCACAGAGCAGCTATTTGAACTAGTGCTTCTTAATTAAATTGTTTAAATTGTGTCTGAGCTGTGTGTCATCTTTGTGTGCAGAAGAGCAGCTGCTTACCAGGTAAAAGCTGAGTTGAGGTCTGTTCCTAAGTGGTATTGAAGCTGGTGTTAGTGAACTTGAGAGGAGTCCCATGGTCAAAAAGCTGTGGCTGACTGAAATTTATCAAACTCTATTTAAATACTGCTTTTAGTTACATAAGCCAAGGTACAGGTAAGAAAGCACTGTGGGTCAGGAAAGGAATTACTCCCTGCAGGAAGGGATTATTTCTCTTTCTTGAAACCATTTGGTAATTGGCTACATCTGTGCCACCAAAACTCTTGGCACCTAAAGCAATCATTTTTGTGGCTGTTGCTGGAGGTAGGACACAGAATAACTTAATCATTGATATGATCTGGTGTGACACGCTTGGTTTTCTGATGGAATTTGGAGGCCTGAACGGATATCAGGGTTTGAGCAGCTCCAAGGACCATTCAAAACAATGAGTTGTTTGGGGAGCTATGGTAAGCTTGACTGTATAATTGGTATGAGGTTTTTTTAATGACTCAGAAAATTGCTGGTTACCTCTAAATGTTGGAATTACTTTTGGATGGTGCTCATTAGTGCTCTACATGCTTTCCATCAGCAACACGCTCACTGGGCTTCTTTTCATATTGCAAGTGTAACATGAAACAGACCAGTTTGAATGACGTTTGTTAGAAGGGGTCTGTGTGATTCCCACACTAGTCACTGCAGTCTCTGGGGTGGAGATGAAATAATTTGTTAAATCCAGTATGATTTCTTTTTTGTTGAGACATCTGTAGACCTCTTCTGCAGCCCACTCTCAGCGGGTCGTTCGCAAGACTGAAGTCTACGCTCTAGCTAGACAAGAGCAGCGTGTGCACTGCCACTGCCACCTGTAATAGTTCCAAAAACATCATAAGCCAGACTCAGGCAAATAGTTTTTTGAACCTTTTTTGGCAAGTTTCATCCAAACTTTTACAGCTGATGTTTTTATTCTGTTTCCTGTACCATTACCAGACAATAACCTCCTTGAAGTAAAAGGTCAGACTCCAAATGCATGACGAGCATGAGCAGGTTCATTAAATTTGTGATAGAATTAGAAAAGATGGCACCCTGACTTCTGCTTCCTTTGTGCTTGGTTTCCTTGCTTCGTTACGCTGCCATGCTGGAGTAGACATGAAGCAGAGGCCCACATCAAGTGTTTTGGTCGTGAAGTGTAGGTTATTACTTGACGTCTGCTTGCAGCTCAGCTTTCCATAGTTTTTTTTCTATAGGACTTGATCTCCAGACTGATGAGTATAGCTGCTGTTTTGATGCTTGCTTAAGGTCCATTGAAAGGAGATGAAGATGACTTGGAAATGTCTTTGTATGCAAAAAGGTTTCCAAAACTACTATCGTGAGAAACTGATATCTACTTCCTTGGCTTGTATTCCGGCTGGGAAGGATAACCGCACTAAGTTCCCTCCCTGAGGTCCCTCGTACTCTGTCAAAGCCATGCTCTGCTGCTGCTTTTTAATAAAACAGCATCTTGGTGCCAATAGGAGTATATGGAATATGTTCAAGACTGTACATTACTGCCCCCAAGTGTTGGGCTGACAAGGGAAAGGGTCCAAACTTGAACATGAGGTAAAAGGGTGGGTGGAAGAAGAGAATTTTTGGGTCACTGGCCCTCATCAGACCAGACACTTTTCATTCATTAGCAAAACGGTTTGTGGTTTGCCCTTTTACCACATCTGTTGTTGCATTTTTCAGACTGCTGAGTCTTCAATTAGAGTTCATCAGAGACCTTGTCAATCATAGGACTCCAGAAGTCCTGCCTGAAAGAAGCTGTGCGTGGTGCTGGTAATGTGCCTTGGCATGGAATGCTCTGGTTGGCATTCAGTTAGTTGTCATTTGTAAATAGGCTACTTGGAGGCTGTCAAAATGTGCAAGAGGACTTCTAAATCTCTACAAAAAGAGTTTAGTGTAGGCATATACCTTTTTAAGGGCAACTAATTTAAATTAGAATAATTTTCCATGTAGCTCCTCTGGAAACCGGGGTAACTGAAGCCTTGGAGCATCTACCTGTCAGCCAAGTCCAAACTGTAAAGCAGTTCCCGTAAGAGGAGTGCTCAGGCAAATATTTTTTTGTTACGGTGATTGCACTGCTCTTGCATGGAGTTGTCATGAGGATACGCCAAGTGATAGCACTTGTAACGTTAATACAGATTTAAATTGTGTAGCGTAAATACTGTCTCACCTCGTTATCGCCTTACATTGGCCAGAAGTTGCTGCTGTTGATATACTGTGCTTCTCATCGAAGTCAGTTGTGAATCACATCGCTTGCTGAAAGGTGAATATTTAAGGGTATTTTCTGGATGGAAATGTTTCTTGTATCAGTTAAGAGATCTTGTTTTGGCTTGTTGAGATCACAGAGTGGTATGAAGCAAGGAAGCTGGTAGAGTTCACTTCTGAGTGGGTAAATGGTTTATACTGAAAGAGCAGAACAATCTTGGAGAATTGTCCTCCTGCTTCCTTTCTCTTAAGGTAAGTTGTACTGTAAGTCAGTCCCCATGTACTTTTAGCTGCGTTCTTTCCAAGAGAAACGCCGAAGAAGGCATCAGCTTTGAGGTAGTGCTGTTGTGGAGGATCTGTGGTGTTCCTAGGACACTTTGGAAGCACACATAGCAGGGTAGGTGAGTGATAGCTGGGTCACAGCCTTCAGAATCCTTTTGGGTTTTTTTGCAAGAGAGCTTCACTAACGTGTCTTAGAGGGGTGCATCTCTGGGAAAGGTGGATGATGGAACTTGGATTTACTGTGCTCATGGGCCATGTGCAGCAAATAAGGGGTCTGTGACAGGATTGTCTTGATGGCTTTGACTTGAGTATGGAAGTTGATGTGCTCTCAATGTTGGTAAAAGTTAAGCAGGTTCCTTTTGCAAATACAAATTTCCTGCCGAGTGTTTAATTTGGACGTTTGCCTGTGTGTATATAATATAAATTAGATGAAAAATCCAGCTGACTCAGAAAAATCAGATGGCTGGCATAAAGCGGGGACAGAGAATCATCCTTCCAAAGCTGGCTCACAAAATGGGCAAGCAGACTCACCAGGAGAGTGGGGTTTGCTCACAGCCACAACTTTCTCCCTCTCTTTTTCCAGGAAGACTGATATTCAAATAGTACTCAACTTATTCCCAAAAGCAGAAGCTTTCTTGAAATACAGAATCAAGTTATGCTGCCATGAAAGAATTAAAGCTGGAGTTCTTTATAGATACAGCAGTCAGTAACTTTACTGGTTATTTTTCAAGGCTCTGTTTGCAATTAAAGATCTGGGAGGTGGTCATTGTTGCTTTCTCATCACAGGAGAATGCTTAAATATTTTTAGTAGAATGTGTTACTTTCTAAAAAGTCCAGAGTGGTGAATTTAAAAATGTATAAACTTATGATTTTGAAATACTTGAACAGTATTCAGGACCTTGCTTCATGTAGCTAGTGTGCCTCCAGGCAAGTCTCAAATCTGCTTGCATGCCTTTAGTAACTGAAGATATATGAAGCTAGAGAATTTATCTCCAGGAAAACTGCATTGCTTGGGCCGCACAGACCATAAAGAACATGAGAATGTGACTGGAGCTTTTGGTATTTTGAGTCCAAGAGCCTAAGCAGTATGCAGAATTGAGGAGAAAGATAAAATAACTGAATGCAGATGGCCAGCTGAACATCTAATGAAGGTGGAAGATGTTTAAAAAAAAATCAGACCCAGTGAAAACTTAAAAGAGTGGAAGCAGAAGTGCATTGACAGCCTCGTGGTCTCAAAGCTGAGTTTTTGACCTGCTGTTCTTCCTGGGCTTGTTGACTCGTGTGATAGGCACTAAGCCACCAGCAGCCATCGGGTTTCTAATGCAAGGGTTATTGGCTAAAGAAAGGGG